TTCCGTCACTAAGTGAGGCAGTAGTTAATAAGTTCTTGTTCTTGCCTGATTTTACAGCCTTTTTTTTTGCCATTAAGCCGATCCAGCTTCCCTCACTGATTTTGCTTGCTGGATCCCCAAGGTCGCCAATGGCCATCATCACGTGACCCAGGGATGCTTCTGCAACCGTCATCAATTCGTGCTGTTTGCCAAGCGCCCGGTCGCGATCACATGACCACAGGTCCTAAGAGGGAGGGGCATGAGCCACTTTTTTTCAGCACAGTCGTAACTGTGTGATTCCATCATGGGCCAGTGCCTCCAATCTGTTTCAGCTTCTATTGGCTCACCTTGTTACTAAGCCTTATTCATTGGCTGACCTTGTTACCATGTCTCTGACAGTTCATGAATATTTTGACAACCAGGCCAAGTGGCTACTCTTGAGGGAAGCAACTCAGGATGGGCAGGAGGAAATGGATGACATTCCCAACCCAGCATCCTTCCATGCCCACCAAGCCAGTCGGCCCCCTGATAGGGAAGCGAGTTGCTGTCATGCAGATGGGATTACTCTTCCGTGTAACAACGAGATGGGTTGTCCACCTTCTTTTCCACCCCTTCCTGCAGGGTTCTTCTCTACATTGTGTCTAGATGCCATGAGGAGAATCTTGACCACTATTTGCGAACATTCATCAAGGTGAGCTGGAGAAAGGACTCCATTCTAGGTCATAGGCTCTGGGTCCAGGGAGTCCACCATCAATAACATTGAATGTCTCTTCTCCCCTCCAGTTCTGCTTTCAGCCTGAGAAGCCCAGCGGGCCCCAGGCGAAGATGACGCATGAAATCTTGGCAGGAGCCATATCAACAATCCTCAAGCAGTCCGCGGATTTCTTGGCCATCAATAAGATGCTGAAGGTGAGACCAAACATGGAAAGTCAAGTCTTTCAAGGCCACCTCTCCTTGCAGAGTTTGAAGCCCGTCAAGCCAAAGGTGTTGAGAGAGGCTCCACGCTGCTCGTTGGGTGGCCTTCTCCACACCGTGGTTTCTTCTGTAAGGTGGGAACAGGTGGGAGATAAGTCTGGCTGGGATACATCTCTCTACTCTTCCTCTTGCTTCCAGTATTCATGGTTTTTCTTTGAAATTCTGGTGAAGTCCATGGCTCTTTATCTTCTGGATGAGAACAAGATTAAGGTAAGGGTGGAAGCTTTTACAGACAAGCCACGTGGGTCTGGTGGGAATTCAAGGAGCTCGAGCTGGACTTCACACCTCATCCTTTCAGCTTCCAAGGCCACAGAGGTTCCCGGAGTCCTACGGTCATGCACTCCATTCTTTGCTGCTCTCCATAATTCCACATGTGAACATTCGCTACAGTGAAATCCCAGAGGAGTCAAGAAATGTCAACTTCTCCTTGGCCAACTTGTTGAAGGTTGGTGTAGACGTTGGCCTCTTCCTCTCCTTCCTTCCCCATCTTTAGTTTATGTGGGGGGTGGGAGCAAACAAGGCCAAGTGTTTAATCCTGTTGGACTGAACTGCTTCTAGGATTGAAATTCTGTTGACGGGAGCCCCCAAATACCTAAAGGTTACCCCATAAATAGCATTTATGCACCCCGGAAATGCACCCAGTCAATGCAATGCAGGAGGTTCACCTTTTATCCTCTTCCCCAGCGATGTTTGACCTTCATGGATCGAGGGTTTATCTTCAACCTCATCAACGACTACGTTTCTGGGTTCAGTACCAAAGACCCCAAGGTAAAATATGAAGCTTCCCGGAGCCACTGCGGGGGGATAGAAAGCAGAAGTGGTCTCTTACAAGTTCTATTGTCAGGGTTCCAAATAGCATCCAAAATCAAATCAGAGTCCGAGGCAAAGGATTGCTCAGAGTTCCAATTGATGAAGAGAGCCATGTTGGCACATCTGGGAAAACCCGAATCTGAAGGCTTCCCATTTTTTCCCACCCAGTTGAAAGTTCAAGATCTTATCCCCCCTCCCCCACACACAAACCCACAAGTCCATCCCATGGTCCAATCTCCCACTGCCATGCTGGCAGCTTCCACCCATCCAGTTCTGGTCAGGCGCAGAGGTGCAGAGTCAAAGGATGATGACCTTGGCTTTCTAGAAAGAATGTTGTTATGGCTACCTATCGTCTTAACTCCGTACAATCCCATTTTCCCACCATAGAAAATGCATAGCAGAAGAATAGGAAGTGTGGCAGGCCAAAAGACCCAAAAGAAAAGAGGGCTGCAGGCCTGACATCTATTTTATCTCTCCTTCTCCACACCCAGCTCTTGGTGGAGTACAAGTTTGAATTTCTACAGACCATCTGTAACCACGAGCACTACATCCCGCTGAATCTGCCGATGAATTTTGCCAAGCCAAAGTTTCAGCGAACACAAGGTCTGTTTTCAGTGTCTACGTGATTCATGGGCTATTCCTAACAAATCGATCATTTCTCCACCTGTTTCTGGGGCCAAAGCCTGAAGCAGCGAATCAATCGATCACCCTTTTTTAAAACTTCCTGAGAAATCCAGCAAAGCCCGCAAATAGAATTTGCAGGATTAAAGTAACAGCAGATCCTTTTTTTT